ACAGTCCCAAAAGAAGAAATTATTGATTTCTATAGGGCTTTACAAGTATGAGTATAGAAGTAAACATGAACTAGAACTAGAGTTCAAAGCATACAGAAAAATGTTGAGAGATGATTTCACCAAAAATTTCCCTCCTTTCAAGATGACTTTTAAAACAAAAACACTCAGCGGTAGGCATGCAGCAGGCTGAGCCTGCTGGGGATGCCCACATACCATATCAGGCTGCCTGGTTTTGAGTGCTGAACTCTGCTTTGGATCAAACTTCCTGCTAACACATCCTGGGAGGCAGCAGAGGGTGTCCCAAATATTTGGTTTCCTGCCACCAGTGTAGGAGATCCAAATGGAGTTTCAGCCTCCTGACTCTGGCCTGGCTTTGCCCTGGATCTTGTGGGCATTTGGAGAATGAATTGGCAGATAGAAAAATCTCTCTCTGTCTCTCCCTCTTTAGCACTCCGCCTTTCAAATAAAGAAGTAAACTTAAAAGACACCAAGAGGTGTCAGCTAGCCAATAACAGAATTTGATGTATGAACTGTCACACACAGATGTTATAATCAGAGGGAGAAGTATTCATGAAGTTTCTGGAAGAAAGAAGGCACTTATGCATTTCAAGTTGTTCCCTGTAGCTCAAGACCAGAATTACAGAAATAGAATTAGCAACAGCAGACTGGAAAGACAAACAGGGCAAACTACAGGAGACTTAGTAAGTATCACTACCTATTTAATGTCAGTTTTGTATTACTCATTGATCCCATCAACTCTCCTCCAGTACTTCAGCCCACTGTTTCTTTGTTTAGTGCTTTCTGTTGGTTTTTCAGTTTAATGTTTCAGCCTTGCCTATTTCTGGCTCCTTGTTCATAGCCTTTGTAGAGGTGTAATTCATTATCATATTTATTCAAGGTGCCTATTTTCTCCATTACTTTAAAAATCTCAAATCAAAAACCAGTACAAAGGTTTATAGAAGGTACAGTTTAGTAAGAAGAAAATTATAGTGCCCATTAAAAAGATTTGAAAATAACAGAGTTACATGAAAATGCTAATCTGGAAATAAATACAGAGAAAACTTTATAGTATAAATTACAGTACAATAATAGATCACCTTAGTAAAGGAATTAGTAGATACAAGAGGCATATAATTGTAGAAACTAGAATATACATCAGGGGAAGGGTCTTCATGTTCTTAAACCATTCGGGAAGAAGTTGAAGATGTCAAACTTGCTTCAGATTTCGTAAGTGAGATATGCATTCAAAATATTCCAATATCTTATAAATTTAAAATTTGTAAAAAAATAAAAACTTAATTTTGAATATAAATTAATTCTAAACATAATTACCTTATTTTAGATATGATAATCTTATCTAGAAGCATGGTTCCAAATTACATGAAATAAAAACTTTAAAAGTTAAAAATAGAAAAATTTACTGTTTTAATAGATATTCTAATAAAATTCCACAATGATGAGTCAGAAAATAAATCAGAAATTTAAAACATTTAAATTAACATGATTGCACACTTGCAAAATGAGTATTATTAGATTGTATTCTCAAACCAGAGGAAATATCTTTTACAAATGAAATATTTATGCGAATTGCCCATATAGTAGGACACAGATTAAACATTAATAAACTTTAAATATTTTTCTATTTATAATCATATCAATTACATTAAAATCAAGTTTAAAAATAATTTTAAAATCAGTAAAGATACAAGGATAATATTTCTAACAACGACCACAGGCTGGTTTGGCAAAGATGATTCAATTCCTAGAAAGTTTCAAGAAAACTGGCTAAGGTACAGTTTAGAAAAATTACACAAGTAAAGGGAAAGATAGATCATTGATACATTTGGGAAGTTCCTATCATAGAAGATTCATTTCTTTCCAAACAATTCATAAATAAATTCAGTGCCAATAATATTTCCAGAGAAATCTGAAGGAAATGAATAAGATAATGCTGAAATTTATATGGAGTGGAAAGGGTCAAGAACGATCTGAACCCATGAAGAAATATAAGATTGGAGAATTAATCCAAATGCATAATCAATATTCATTATTGAAATACACAGACGTGGAGTATTGTGATAAGTTGCTCAGTAGATCAGGCAAGTGTGAATGGAAAAGAGATCCACACACACATGGAAGCCTGATATGTGATAAAGATAACAGTAAGTGTTTATACATTAAGAAAGGTGTGGCAATCAATTATATTACAATTTACATTTATAATTTGTTTTTGTATGTTAGAAAAATGTATAACTGGAACTTCCCTTCATATCATAGCAATACATAAATTTCATCTATACGTTGCTTCCATATTTGTCATGTGAAATATGTATTCAAACATTTGGAAAAATTTATTTCAAACTTCTAAATAAAATACAGAATTAAGGAAAAAATCCTTAATTTTGAGCAATCTAAACATATTTTCATCTAAAAAACATAAATATAAAAGAAAATTTCACTCTCTCTCTTACTCTCTGTCTCCTGATCTCTGTCTCTCTCTTACACTCTCCTTCTCTCTTTTTTCCTTCTTCACCCCTTCCTACCTGTCTGTTGGATTTCCCCCAATAAACTATTTCCCTTAAAAAAAAAGAAAAAAAGAAAATTTCAAATTTCAATAATATCAAATTCCTTAAACATGTTCAGAAAAGCACAAAGCTCAAAGGAAAGTACTTATCACTTATACTATTTTTAATTGAAATTTTTTCCTAATTAGAAGTTATCATAAAGAATTGAAAATAAACCAGATAAAGAAATTTTTAATGTATGTAGTTCAAAAATGTTTAGTATACAACAAATGCCTGCAAATCAACAAAAGGCAGTCACTCAACATTCAGGGGGAAATTCATGAGCAGTTTTTTTTTTTGGGGGGGGTACAAAAGGAAATGAAAATGAACCTCCTAAAGCTATTAATGCATACTTATTCCTATTAATAACTAATGATTAATAAACCATAATGAGATACAATTAAGAGGCTTTAGAATATGACAAAAGAGCATCTTTTTCACTATAGATAGAAATACAAATTGGCACAGGAATGGATAAGTTTTTCTTTTACTGTTCTATTTTATCTTTCTTTTTTTAAAAAACTTTTATTTAATGAATATAAATTTCCAAAGTACAGCTTATGGATTACGATGGCTCCCCCCCCATAACTTCCCTCCCACCCACAATCCTCCCCTTTCCCGCTCCCTCTCCCCTTCCATTCACATCAAGATTCATTTTAATTCTCTTTATATACGGAAGATCAGTTTAGCATATAATAAGTAAAGATTTCAACAGTTTGCACCCACATAGAAACACAAAGTGAAAAATACTGTTTGAGTACTAGTTATAGCATTAAATCACAATGTACAGCACATTAAGGACACAGATCCTACATGAGGAGTAAGTGCACAGTGACTCCTGTTGTTGACTTTATCAATTGACACTCCTGTCTATGGCATCAATAATCACCCTAGGCTCTTGTGATGAGCTGCCAAGGCTATGGAAGCCTTTTGAGTTCACCGACTCTGTTCATATTTAGACAAGGTCGTAGTCAAAGTGGAAGTTCTCTCCTCCCTTCAGAGAAAGGTACCTCCTTCTTTGATGACCCGTTCTTTCCACTGAGATCTCACTCACGGAGATCTTTCATTTAGGTTTTTTTTTTTTTTTTTTTTTCCAGAGTGTCTTGGCTTTCCATGCCTGAAATACTCTCGTGGTGCTTTCAGCCAGATCCACATGCCTTAAGGCTGACTGCTGCGTCAGAGTGCTGTTTAGACATCTGCCATCTATGGTCTGCTGTGTAGCTGCTCCCATGTGGATCGTCTCTCCTTTTTTATCTATCAGCTAGTATTGCAGACACTATTCTTGTTTATGTGCTCCCTTTGGCTCTTAGTCCTATCATTATGATCAACTCTGAACAGAAATTGATCACTGGGACTAGTGAGATGGAATTGGTACATGCCACCTTGATCTTTCTTAATATTTTATTATTTCCTTTAAATCCAGTAAATGACATAGACAAAAGAAGAAAGTTTCAACTCCATGAAGGCCACAGTGGTTCCAAGCATCAGGACTCACGCACTATTGCTGGTTTTAGAGACAAATGGAACCGGCAGCTGAAGAAGGCATGGACCTTCCCATACCAGACATCCTGTGTGGACAGCCACCAAGGCAATAAGAATATCAGCTGGGAAACTACAGGAAGTGAGTTTTATCACAACTGAAGGACCCTGGTGTGGGGAGCAACCCGGACTAGACTGAGTTACTGGAATTAAGACTTATTCTATGCATCTGCTCTCCCACAATATGGCGCTGGGAGAGAAGTAAACAGCTTCCGCACAGCTGCCTCCAGTTCAACTAATAAACTGTAGGACTTGCTCCTGATTGGAGGAGAGCAGCGTACTCGGCGTGTGGGCAGCCGAGTTAGGATTGGCGGAGGAGGACTATAAAGGAGGAGAGAGACGGCATGCACCAGGAACATCTATGGGGAACATCTAAGGGAACCCGTGCAGCCCCCGAGAAAGCCGGCCGGCGGTGTGCCGCTCCCCTGCGGAAGTGGGGAATGTGGCCAGGGGGAACTGCCCTTCCACGGAGGTGGAAGGGATAGTAGCCAACCCGGGAAGAACCAGCAGCAAACCCGGGGAGGGCCGAGCAGACGAAAGAACAGCGCAGGGTCCTGTGTCGTTCCTCCATGAAGAGGGGGAGCGACACCCTGGAAGTAGATTCCCCCTGACCCTGATGGCTGCAGAGAGAAATGCAGGGCTGCTGACACCTGGCAAGACCTGGCACAGAGTAACCATTGATCAACTCACGCTGTGCCCAGGCTTTGCACAGAGAAATGTGAGATAAGAACTGGGTGCTGTTTTAAGCTGCTAAGCATGTGGCCGTCTGCTATACAGCAACAGAAAATTACCATTGGTAGAAGCTTGACTAAATATTTGCTGATTGTCAGAAGGAAAATTTACCATTCACAGCTCATAACTAAAATCTTTTCCTACTTTTATGTATGAAAAACTCACCGCAATGGATAAAGCAGCTACTTCATTCCTTGATGACTTTGTTTCCTTTATTACTTCAGTCACTTCCTCTTCTTGCTCCTCAATATTAACATTAACATTTTGTATTGATGTATAGTAATGATTAAATAGATTGTTGAGTTTATCTAACTCTCTTCTAAGAGAAAAAAAAAGTTGATTTTAGCCACATTAAAAATTATGTTTAAATTAGCTTCCAGCTGAACAATAAGTATCAATGGAATTTGTCTATTTCTAAAATTTCTTCCATTTCAAAGTGACTTCCCAACTCCTTAAAAAAAAAGTACCACTTTGACATTAGGTAAATAGTGAGAAAAAATCCATCAGTAGTATTTATCTTGACAAGAGAAAGAAATTATAGAAACATGACTTAGGAGTGATTTAAAGTAAACCTGCATCTGACTGGCTTTCAGATGAGAGAATTAAACCTCTTTGATTCATAAGTTGGGTAGCACAGGGATGGAAGAGCAAGGGAAAAAGAAGGAAAAGATAAAAAGAAGAAAGAGAAGAAGATCTGAAGTGAAAAAATTGAATCTTTATGGCATGAGAAGTTAAATGGAGGGAAATGCAGGTTAAAACAACCAGAACTTGATTTAAAGTAAAATAATTGCCAAGGAGATTTTTGTTGCTATATGACCCCCTAACAAAGAAGATCAGGGCTGGTCTGTGAAGCTCCAAACCTTTTGTCCTGTTAAGCAGGAGATTCATTCCAAAAACAGAAGTTTCTTTAGATAATAGCATGGCAGTTTAATATAAGCCCCCAAAAATACACTAAGAAATTGATCAAATTACCATTTTCATAAAATGACAAGTGATGCAGATAACTACAACTTTTATCCATATACAGTAAACAAAATAATCTTGGACATTTATTTGAAATCTAAATATGAGAACAAACAGTAAACAGTTTATCTGTAATAAAACCATACAAATCAACATGGAATAGAATAGTCATCTAATAAAGACATAGAAAATACATACAAAAAATTCATAAGGAAATAAGTGCCAGTTTCCAAGAAATACGTAACATACTTCAGGAATTGGCCCAGCTTCTCATGCAGGAGTCAAGTCAGCTAAAACCCAAAGATGCACTCTCACTACAGCAATGGAAATTAAAGCAACAAAAAAATGGGCAAGAACAAGGTCCTTCTTCACCCTTCCATATCTTGAGAGCACAGCTTCTCTTCCAAAATTCTAGATGCTGGATTGGCAATGAGAGGTAGGGAGCCACTATGTTCCAAAATTGTAAATAAGTTTGGTTCAGTTTCCTTCTTTTGCAATTAATTTTTCTTCTCTCGATGGAATTTCTTGCCAGAGAGCAAATGATGGACCTTTGTCTGAAATGCACTTTTCCATGCAGTAGATGGCCATATGTATGTTCTTTTACTATCCTATTTCCCCTCTTCCCTGATTCAGCTGATGCCACCAAATCCTCAGTCTTTTGAATAATATTTTTCAGAGTAAAAATCTGCTTCTTCCTACTAGGTATTAAATGTCGCCATTTTTATATTGCTAAAACAGAGTACATTAAGAAAAATAAAATAGGAAGGATCGCTCTACTCATTACTGAGTAGTACCATGTAAGTATAGGTATCAAGAAATGTTGATACTCATGGAGTAATATTTGACTGGCGGATTAACCAAGCAGAATAGGAAATCCAGAATTAGATCTACACAAATGTGCCCAAATGACTTTTGAGAAAGTTACAGAAGCAATTCAATGGAAGTGATTTAATATAAGGTGTTGGAATCACTGGCTATACATAGATTAAAAACAAAACGAAAAAAATCTTGGAGTAAATCTCACATTTCATATACATTTTAAGTAAAAATTATTCATATATCTAAATATGAAGTGTAGAACTATAGTATTTTAGAAGCAAGCACAGGAGGAAATCTTTGTGACTTAGGGTTCAGGCAAGAGTTAACATAAATGCTTCAGGAAAGCAAATATTGGTGAATTTAATTTCATTCAAATTAAAAACCTTTATAATTTGAAATACCCTCATATAGGGAAGAAAAGTGTTTCCAAAAAGACAGAAATATTTTCAAATTACAAGTATCTTCAATATATACTGGATTATTTACTTACATACTCGACCATAAATCAAGAAGGAATTGGAAAATGGGTGAAATGAACATAGAACTTAACAAAAGAGAGAATGGGATCAGCACACACACACACAAAGATGTTCAAGGTAATTGGCCAGTTGGGAAATGTAAATTACAGCCATACTGAGATATCACCATAAAAATATTAGAAGGGCAAAATTGTGTAAAAGATAATAATGTGTTTTGGAGAAACAGGATCTCTCATTTGTTGCTGGTGTGAATGTGTGGCTTTCTGTTTTCCATGGATTGAAACGATACAATGGTCACTGACAATGAAGATAACTAGTTCAGTTAAAAAGAAATACTAAACAATAAGAAGTTTGCTATTAAAATTTTAAAATATATTTCCTCATAATCCATGAGTGAAAGAAAAAAAATGATAGGAATTATAAGCATATATCTTAATTATATAAATGTTAATGAAAATATATCAGGTGAGTTATAAAACATTTATTTATGAAATGGCAGAGAATGCTTGAGGACATGTTGAAATAGATATTAAATAGGGAGAAATGAAAATATCTTAACAAATAAATGTTAACTTATATCTAACCCTATGATACAGATGTGTTCATTTCGGTTACATTTATTCGGTTCTAGCACTGTAATAATTATGAATTTTATATAATAAGTAAATATCAATTTAAATAAATAAAATTTTATTATATCACAATAAAGAATTTAAAGGCAATGAAAGGAAATAGAATATGTATCAGAACAAAATAAATGAAAAATTAATTATTAATATTCTAAATATAATTAATCTACATATTAACATATTAGATTTTAGGGCAATCAAATAAAGTCATTATTAAAACATTGGATGCTATTTTTATAATGGATAAATTTTTATATAATTTGCTTAATAATAAACTATGTTGGATATTTTTAATGCAGGGTTATCACTACTGCACATAGTATATATTTATATATAGCATATCCTTAAGGAAATTTGCCAATATTTGAAGATGCTTAAAATTACACAGATGCATTAAGTTTTAGAAATCTACAGAACTTCACAAGTATATATATTTTAATTTACATAATTAGATAATAAAATACATATAGCAATAAATTATTTGCTATTTATCCAAATTTTGAAACACAAGGTGTTTCATTTTACTAACATTTTATTGCTAAATGCAATATGCAATTCTAAAATATTTTTACCTGTAGCCATCTATTTTTGCTTCATCATTACAAATATCTTTTTCGAAGTCTTCTTTCATTTGTTTAGCCTTAAATTTGGTGTTTTCATATTCCTCTATAACTTCTTCAAGATCTCCATGAGTTTTTCTGCACAGCTCCATTACCTGGTATTGAAATATATTTTTTCTAATATATGTATTTAATGATTAATTAAAAGAAAGAACTTTAGGGCAGATTTTCTTTTTTTTTTTTTAGTTTAATTTAGGCAAAAAGTCTTTCACTTACATTTTTCCTCCCATAGTTAATCTACTGTTTAGTGAGTGGGGTTTCAGTTTTCTTATTTTCTTATAGGATTGAATGCAGGGGATATATACAAGTTACTGTCATGAGCTGCCAAGTCTATGGAAGCCCCTTGAGTTCACTGACTCTGATCATATTTAGACAAGGCCATGGTCAAAGTGGAAGTTCTTTCCTCCCTTCAGAGAAAGGTCCCTCCTTCTTTGATGACCCATTCTTTCCACTGAGATCTCACTCACGGAGATCTTTCATTTAGGGTTTTTTTTTTTTTTTTTTTTTTTTTTTTTTTCCAGAGTGTCTTGGCTTTCCATGCCTGAAATACTCTCATGGGCTTTTCAGCCAGATCCACATGCCTTAAGGGCTGATTCTGAGGCCAGAGTACTGTTTAGGACATCTGCCATTCTATGGGTCTGCTGTGTATCTCACTTCCCATGTTGGATCGTTCTCTCCCTTTTTTATTCTATCAGCTAGTATTTGCAGACACTATTCTTGTTTATGTGATCCCTTTGGCTCTTAGTCCTATCATTATGATCAATTGTGAACAAAAATTGATCACCGGGACTAGTGAGATGGCATTGGTACATGCCACCTTGATGGGATTGAATTGGAATCCCCTGGTATGTTTCTAACTCTACCGTTTGAGGTAAGTCAGCTTGAGCATGTCCCGAATTGTACATCTCTTCCCTCTCTTATTCCCACTCTTATATTTAACAATGATCACTTTTCAGTTAAGTTTCAGCACTTAAGAAGAATTGTGTATTGATTACAGTATTCAACCAAAAGTATTAAGTAGAACAAACAAAAAAAAATACTAAGAGGGATAACATATTAAGTTGCTCATCAACAGTCAGGGTGAGGGCTGATCAAGTTACCGTTTCTCATAGTTGATTACTGATGCCATAAACAAGAGTGTCAATTTGTTAAGTCAACAACAGGAGTCACTGTGCACTTACTCCTCATGTAGGATCTTTGTCCTTAGTGTCCTCTACATTGAGATTTAATGCTATAACTAGTACTCAAACAGTATTTTTCACTTGATGTTTCTGTGTGGGAGCAAACTGTTGAAATCTTTACTTAATGTATGCTAAACTGATCTTCTGTATATAAAGAGAAATGAAAATGAATCTTGATGTGAATGGAAGGGGAGAGGGAGTGGGAAAGGGGAGGGTTGTGAGTGGGAGGGACGTTATGGGGGGGAAGCCATTGTAATCCATAAGCTGTACTTTGGAAATTTATATTCATTAAATAAAAGTTTAAGAAAAAAGTTAATGTCAAAAATAACTTCAATATTCTGGTTAATGTGTCCAAAATTAAATCATTATCTTTTCACCACAAAAAACAAATTACTTTTATGGTTTTAGTTGTTTGAATGGTATATTATTGTAGAATTTTTAAAAAAGATTTATTTGACAGGAATAGTTACACAGAGAGAGAGGGAGAGACAGAGAAAGGTCTTCCATCCACTAGTTTACTCCCCAAAAGGCTGCAATGGCCAGAGCTGAGCTGATCAGAAGCCAGGACCCAGGAGCCAATAGCTTCTTCTGGGTCCCCCACACAGGTGCAGGGGCCCAAGCACTTGGGTCATCTTTTACAGCTTTCCCAGGCCAGAGAGCTGGAATGGAAGTGGAACAGCCAGGGTGCTAGTGGGCTCCCATATGGGGTACCAGCACCGCAGGAGGAGGCTTAGCCTGCCACAACATAGGACCAGGTCCATAATGTAGAATTTTTTTAAAAAATGAACAAATACTACCTTAATTTTACTCAGATCAGAATAAATATCTCAATATCATGCAAAAATATTTAACTTTACTATTTTTATTAATAAGCACCAGAAACATTCTCTTTTCTCTTTGCATCTCTCCCTCCTGTCTCCTTGACTTTCTAACTCTGCATGACATTATTTTTACATAACATTCCTTTATATCATACATGACTCATTACTTAACTCAATGTCAATTTATATGAACATTATGCACAGCCTGGCATGTGCTACATCATGAGATGCATAACATAAACATTGTGGTGATGAAGAACCCTGTAACAGAATTGTACATCCTGAAATATTTATTCAAATGTGCTTTTAAAGGAGGATTTGCTTAGCCAGAATGTAATGATACGTATTTTGAGGAATTTCCTAAGCACTGGCTGATATTATTCTCCAGGAAGGAGTAATGATTTGTACTCTGACAAGTAAACTAGAAGAGAACCCATGATTCAACAGCCACTCCAACATTTTCAACTCTATTTTTCTGAGCATACTTTTCAAATCAACAAACTCCAAAGAAATATGGGTACATTTTACTTAGATTTCATGATGCTTTATAAAACAACTTGGAGTGACCAGTGCTACGGTGCAGTGGGTTAAACTGTTGCCTGCAGTGCTGGCATGCCATACAGGTTCAGTTGGAGTCCTGAATATTCTGCTTCTGAAACAGTTCCCTATAAATCTGCCAGGGAAAGTAGTGGAGGTAGGGTACCTAGATGAAGCTCCTGGCTCTATTCAGCCTGGCCCAGCCCTGGTCGATATGGAATCTAATTTCTCTGTCTCTGTCTCTCTCTCTCTAACTTGACTTTTCAAATAAATAAATAAATATTTTAAAAAAACACTTTGATGTGTTCAAGGATGGCAGAATAGTGACATGGTAGTCTCTTAGGCTAAGCAAAATTAATTACAAAAAAAGTGGAGAAAGTACATTCTGAGGGTAAAGCTGCAGAGGAAACTGCAGAGGGAGGTCCTGTAGAAGCAGAATTGGCCTAGACCCGTGTGGAAGGTGCAGACATGCAGCAAGGAGCAATGAAACAATGAGGGACTCAGCATCTTGGATCCAGAAAAAATGCCAACTCTGGCAAACCAGATGAGACTGGACTGCACAGCCCACACTGCTGTTGATACAGATGGAGGGAGAGCTTAGTAAACTGCACTATATTTGAGTCTGGCCTGTATCCCTCAGGGCAGCAGAGTGACCTCTAACCCAGAGGTGGGGGATAAAAGAGGCACGTCTCTCTTTCTCTCCTTCTCACACTTACAAGAGCAAGCTGCAGCCAGTGGTGGGAGGGCTGGTCCCATTTTTGGACATAAGCAGTTAACAGCTTCTCCAGCTCTTGTGCATGCATCCAGCCAATATCAGGGTCACCCTCTACCCAGTCAGCAGGAGCAACCACAGCAGTTCAAGAAAAATTGACAAGGACGGTCTCCACCACACGGGCTACATCCACCCAGCCAAAGAGGAGGATGAGGAGCCATCCAGATGGAAGGGAAATGCTGCCTGCAGGACTAAAACTAACTGCAGAAATTCAAGCAACAAGAATAAGGAAGACTCTATGACCTTCCACAAAGGGACACATTTCATTATTAGAATGTGAAGAGGAAGAGATTGAGGAAATGCCAGAAATGGAATTAAAAAATTAATCACAGGATTACTCAAAGGCAATCAGAAGCAAATACACAAAGTAAAGAAAATCATACATGATCTGAGTGATAACTTTCCCATGAAATCAACATTTTAAATAGAAATCAGAATGAAATATTAGAAGTGAATAATTCAATACAACAAATAAAAAATGCAGTAGAAAGCCTTAACATCAGAGTTGGTGAGGCAGAATAAAGAATATTTGAGCTAGAAGTGTGGGGAGCAACTCAGACTAGACTAAGTTACTGGAATTAAGACTTATTCTATGCATCTGCTCTCCCACAATATGGCTCTGGGAGAGGAGTAAACAACTTCTACACAGCTGCCTCTCGCCAATTTGACTGATAAGCTGAAGGAGCTGATCCTGCTCCTGATTGGAGGAGAGCAGCGTGCTCAGCGTGTGGGTAGCAGAGTTGGGATTGGTGGAAGAGGACTATAAAGGATGAGAGAGACAACACGCACCAGGAACATCCGGATAATATCTGAGCAGCCCCCGAGAGAGCCGGCCAGCGGTGTGCCGCTTCCCCGCTGAAGTGGGGAAAGTGGCAGGGGGAGCCGCCCATCCACGGAGGTGGAGGGGTCGGCAGCCAACCCGGGAAGGACCAGCAGCAAACCCGGGAAGGGCCAAGCAGACAAAAGAACAGCGCAGGGTCCTGTGTTGTTCCTCCGTGAATGGGGCTCGACATAGAAGAAAATTTTACAGTCAGATCAATGAAAGAAGAAGAAATTAAAAAAAAAATAAAAACAGTGTTGGAGATCTATGGGATATTATCAATTGATGCAACATATGGGTCTTAGGAGTACCTGAAAGGGTAGAAAGAGAGAAGGGAATAGAAAACCTATTTAGTGAAATAATTACAGAAAACTCCCCTAATTTGAGAAAGAAAGGGACGTCCAAGTACAGGATGCACATAGAACTCCTAACAGACATCGCCAGAAAAGATCCTCACCATTACATATTGCAGTCAGTCTCCACAGTAAAGCACAAACAAAAGATTCTAAAATGTGCATGACAGAAACACAGAATACTTTCAGAAGATCTTCAATTAGACTCACAGCTGACTTCACATCAGAAACCCTACAGGCCAGAAGACAATTGTGAGATATGGTCCAAATCTTAAGAGAAAAAAACTGTCAACCCAGAATATTGTACCCTGCAAAGCTCTAATTTATGAATGAAGGTGAAATAAAGACCTTTCATAACAAACAGAAATTGAAAGACTTTGTCACCACTTGTCCAGCCTTACAAAAGATGCTAAGGATGTGCTACACACAGAAACACCGAAAACAGAAAGAAAGTCATCATCATGAAAGAATGTGAAGACAAAAAAATCCCCCAGTAAAAGTACTAAAAAAACCCAAAATAAACAATAAGAATCTTCAGGAAAAATGGCAGGGTCAAGGAGTTACCTATCAATAGTAACTTTGAATGTAAATGGTCTCAACTCTCCAGTTAA